TTCTTTAAAATATAGGTATTACAGTTGCAAGAAAAAGTATGTGAACCCCTTGGGATTACGTGGAGTTTTGCATGAATTGGGCATAAAATATGCTCTGAACGTCATCTAAGTCACAACAATAGAAGAACACAGTCTGCTGAATATAATACTACACAAACAGATGTTGTCATGGTTTAATTGCACATGTTCTCCGCTGATCATTTCTGTTTCCTACACCACAAATGATCGGAAATCAGCAACGATCCTCATGATCGCCGCTGATCTCTGCTTCATAAAAGGACACCATAGTTAGACAGCGTTGTGGGGAGGCAGGGTGTGCTGCTAACCACGCTATCTCTGGATCCAAAGCACCAGTCAAAATGGGGCTACATGCACTTTGCCCCATGGGGAAAGGATGGAGAAAATAGGTTTATGTTATGACATCTTATTTGAACCGCATTATTTTGAGGAAATTATGGCATAATGATTCCTCTCAAACCTATTACAAAGAAGTGCACAAACTTTCAAGTGATATTTTTTTGTTTTTTCCTCTCTACCACATCACTACCTCTGTTTAGACACTTCCTCAAACTGTCATTCAAATCATTGTCATTGGTGCACTTCCCAGAAAGGGAGGTGGCCTTGTTGGTTTTAAAGTAAATCTGTTTAATGAATGTTAAAGACCTATGCCCTGCAAAATATAGTTCATCTGAACCACAGCATGAAGGACGAGACTATGTATTGGAAATGAGCCATAAGAAAACAACATGTACATATTGCCTTCTGCTGTGAGATTCGTCCATTTACAAATCTAATAAATTCTTTGATCAGAAATGTTTATACCCAGCTTAGATCCTAAAATGTTTTGGAACAGAACCATTGAAAACATTGTCTTAATATAGCTCATGATAACAAAGAGGTTAGGTTTTATTTTAGGCAAACTGCTGGTGCTACTTTCATGGAACATTAATAGAACATACAGTTTCTCTATGAGACATGTTTGTTTATAATATCCGTAGATTACATTTTTATATTGGGACAATCTTTGGAACTATTTATATGCCCTGATGTTATCATGTCATCTGTAAAAAGGAAACCTGAATAAGCAATGGCTGATGAGCATTCATTCTGTGCTGCTAGTAATGAATAGCAGATCTTCAGTTGTTTGATTATGGCTTTGACTAAAGAAAAGTCATGGAAAAATGAATTTGTAGTGACCTTGTAGTTACTCTGTAACTATGTAACTATGAAAGGAGTCCCTTCAACCAGTGATAATTTTGATGTCAAATTTCAATTTAGTTTCAGTCATAGTCTTACTAAAATGCCATTTTAGTTTTAATTGTATTTTAGTCACCTGAATTGTTTTAGTTTTAGTCCTATTTTAGTTGAATAAAATAGTGTTAGTTTAGTCGAAAGTAATATTTTCGTTGACAAAATTAACACTGCCTTCAACCCATCTTCTTTTGCCTTCCACTGCTTTGTTACTTTTTGTTCACCATGCCTTTTGCTACTTTTCCCAGATATTCCTGCTTACCATCACTGTGCTCCAAGTTTACTTTTGTGTTATGGAAGCAAAAGTGTAGTTTAATTTGCTATTAAATTGATACATTGAGGGTGCAATAGAAATTATGTTTTTAAAAATGTTTTTTTTTTGTCTGCAAATCAGCTTTAGAGAAAATACAAATTCCTTTCCCCAAGCAAGTCTGCAAGTTTTACTAGAGCTGGTTTCCAGACAAAAGGAATGTATCTATTTAGTTTTTACAGTGTTAATAATATCTCAAAACGTTTTCTAAAATTCTGCTTAAAAATTATGTAGCACCAAGCACCACACCCCTTCTGATCTTTTGCTTTGCACTCCCTACTATGGCAGCAGCTTCTTCACCTGATTTTTACTAACCCATACAGGGGCGGACTGACAAATCATGGGGTCCCCGGGCAATAGGGGATCATGGGGCCCCTGTGTCCTTGCCCACACTCAAAGCACACCCAAAAAAGCCTATAAAAGGTACCAGGGGCATTTCATAGGGCCCCCTACTGACCCTGGGCCCTTGAGCAGTGCCTGAATGCTCGAATGGTCAGTCTGTCCCTGAACCCATAACATCTGTAGCACGATCTGTGGTCTCTGTTCCATGACCACATACTTTCTCACCATCACAGATAACACTTTTTTTTTTCTTATAGTTTAAACGTTATTTGAGCAAGCTCAGAGGAAAAAGCTTAGTCTTTAAAAAGAAGCGTCAAGAACTGGCCGATCTTACAGCAGAATGTGGAGTTCTTCAAAGAACAGAGCAAGTCCTGAAGCAACGCCATGATAGCTTACAGCAGCAATTGGTAAGCTTCCACATTGATTAGGGCCTGGGGGAAGAAGAAAGAAGTAACAGGTTGTTGTCCGTAGATGTCTGAGGATATATTAGAGGATGTAATTGAACACATTTGTTTCTCATGAGTGCTAATTCATATTGCAGTAGCTCATAGCAACCAAACAGAATTCACTTTGACCAGTATGATATAAAATCCAATTGGCTACTGTGGGTTACTGCTCTTTTGAATCAGTCACTAATAATTTTTGAGTTACTGAATAAAGAGTTATTACTGTTATAAATGTAGAGTTATGCTGATCACACATGGATAAAAATTCAGCCATGTATGGGCTGAGTGGTTGTACAGAAGTTGATCTACTGTTCTACTTCTGTGCAACAGCCCTGTTGGAAAATTTCCACTCGATCGCTGCCACCGGGTATCGCCAGTGGCTCTGATCAGATTATTCTGATAGTGGGGAAGTCTTCCCACCATCAGAATGCAAAGGCACCTCGAATGTGTAGATGGGGGAATCAGGTCATTTTTTTTTTTGTTCAGCCAACTGGTTGAAGGAAAAAAAAAAAATCATCTATGGGCTGCCTTTGCATTTAAAAATAAGGGCCTCAGCATCAAAAAGAAATATTATAGTTTACTGTTTCAGAGGCTGAAGGTATTGTGTAAAGAACAATTGGCTGGAACTGTGCATGCCATGTTTCTATTGTGCAGGTGATTATCAGTGTGGAAACTGTCTATCCAAATGACATGACTATGTCTGGAAAAAAAGTCTGTTCTGTTGGGGTGTTCACAAACGGGTTAATTTACTAAAACTGGAGAGTGCAAAATCTGATGCAGCTCTACAAAGAAACCAGTCAGCTTCCAGGTTTTTTTTTGTCAAAGCCTTATTGGACAAGTCGTAGTTAGAAGCTGATTGGCTACCGTGCACAGCTGCACCTGATTTTGCACTCTCCAGTCTTACTAAATCAACCCTATAATGTGCAAAAGTGATTTTATTTGAACATAAGATTGCCTCATTATATGGTGCAGTAAAAATACCTAAATTTAAAGACAATGAATATTTACAATAGCTTATTTTAATTGGTATAGCTACCATTTTTAATTTGGGTACATTACACTGCTCAATTTGTATGACATCATTTTAAAACTGGTTCTATAGACAAGTGCTGGTTAACAAAGTGAGAGATACTCTTGGATATGTTGAAGAGAATTTACATAGAGTGTGATTACTTGGTAACTTGTGGAGTGGTTTAGACAAAGTGCAACACTCAAAAGTTGACAAGAAGCCAAAATAACTTCAGAGACTGTAACAGCACATGGATTTCCCATGTCTATTAAGGGCTTCGGCAAAATTATATTGGCCCTGTTCTAAGTTTAAGAATACTGATGTTTTATTTATAGATATTTTGTGAGATCCACATTGTGTATTTATTTGTAATTATTATAGAACTCAGTATCTGTTTATTTCATAAGACATGATGATTCTATAATACAGATTTATGCTACCTGTATAAGATAATATGCTAACATAATTTCAGTTACCTGTTTAAAGTGAATTTATAGCTAATAAAACAGAGGTCCTTACTCAGTGGGGACATATTACAGTTTAGTTCCCATTTTACTCTTTGCGCTACCTTAAAGTGGAATTCCAGTTGTCACGGACTGCCAGTGCCTCTCCCATCCCCCGCCATATCCCTTCCACCCCTCCCTTCCCCCTTGCACATTCCAATGTCTGTGGAGCTTCCATGGACAGGGCTGGGCCGGCCATTGCCAAGGCAACCTAGCCGCGTCCCACATGGTTTTCAAAAGACCCGCACAGGAATCAGCCCTCCTCTCTCTGTTCCTGTCCATGCTGCTGGAATCATCTTGCTCCCAGAAAGATGCTGGGAGGCTCGGGTGAGGGGGACCGAGCCTCCCCAGCCATCCCCCCTACACACTCTGCAGACCCCCAAAAGGTCAGGACTGTAGCCCTCTGCAATACCCCAGGGTTGGGAGTCTCCACAGCTCTGCATGAGCCTTCCCCTCAAAGGTCAGACCCCACAGCTGAGACCCTGCCAGACCCTGCAAGTCTGTAAGCCTGTCTACTGAGCACCCTTGCACCCTGTCTGCTGCTGAGTGCCCTGGGAGTTGCTGCTGAGGGACCCTGCACACTATCCGTGGCTGCGTGTCCCTGGAAGCTGTCTGCTGCTGAGTGCCCTGGGAGCTGCTGCTGAGGGACCCTGCACACTCTCCGTGGCTGCGTGTCCCTGGAAGCCGTCCGCTGTTGAGTGCCCGGGGAGCTGCTGCTGTCTGCTGATCGCTGGTTGTCCCTGGAATGCCGACCGCTGGTCGTCCCTGTCTGGAGCCGCCTGCCGCTGAGGGTCTGCAAGCTGCTTACCGTGAGTGTCCTGAACTGTCCCTGTTGTGCGCACTGACCACCTGTGTCTTGAACTGTCCCTGTTGTGTGCACTAACCACCTGTGTCCTGAACTGTCCCAGCTGTGTACACCGAACACCCGTGTTCTGAACTGTCCCCGCTGTGTGCATCGACCACACGTGTTCTGAACTGTCCCCGCTGTGTGCACCGACCACCCGTGTCCTGAACTGTCCCTGTTGTGCGCACTGACCACCTGTGTCCTGAACTGTGCCTGCTGTGTGCACCGACCACTCGTGTTCTGAACTGTCCCCAGTGTGTGCACCGACCACTCGTGTCCTGAACTGTCCCCGCTGTGTGCACCGACCACCCGTGTTCCGAACTGCCCCGCTGTGTGCACTGACCACCCGTGTCCTAAACTGTCCCTGTTGTGCGCACAGACCACCTGGGTTATGCACTGCCCTACTACACGCCTAGACTACCCTTACTTGAACCGCCCCATGGCGTGCCCGGAGTATAGCTACTTATGGTGCCCCTGAGTGCTTGAGCCATCGCTACCCATTGAGTCCCCGTGAACCCAATGTCCCTAGAAAGCTGGGTGGTAGCTGTGCTGAGGCCAGACTCCACAGCTAGAGTCCCGTTGAGTCCCCGAGACCCCTGCCCAGGGGTAGATTGCCGCATGTTGCCCGAGGTTCCTGCCCAGTGGTAGGTTGCCGCCTGTTGCCCGAGGTCCCTGCCCAGTGGTAGGTTGCCGCCTGTTGCTCGAGACCCCTGCCCAGGGGTAGATTGCCGCCTGTTGCCTGAGGTCCCTGCCCAGTGGTAGGTTGCCGCCTGTTGCCCAAGGTCCCTGCCCAGTGGTAGGTTGCCGCCTGTTGCTCGAGGCCCCTGCCCAGGGGTAGATTGCCTGCCTGTTGCCCCAGACCCCTGCTCAGGGGTAGGTTGCCCGCCTATTGCCCGAGTCTCCAATCCGCTGTCCAGTTACGGAGGGAGCTCGGCTGAGGCCCCAAGCCTAGGGGGGAGATTGCCTGCCTGTTGCCGAAGACCCCCTGTGCCTGGAATCGTCCCTGGTTTGCGCACACATCACCCTCCCTGCCATTTCCCCATTGAGTATCTGTCATTTTGTTGCTTCAATAAAGCTTTGTGTGTTCCCCATCTTCTCCGTGTGCTCTGTCCTGCCTACGCTTCCGTTACACCAGTCAATAGCTATAAAAGGCAAAACCTACTCCTACCCCCATTCTAAAGCTATTCTATCTAACCCTGTAATGAAAAGATGCCTATACTCTATCACTATCCTGAAGGCACTCCGGTTCGGTCCCAGGCTGAGCTGTCAGCGGTGTCTTCTGTGTGCAGGAGAGGCAGCCAACAACGGATGCTCCATAGTAAGTCTATGGGTGACGTCATCTCCCAGGCATTTTCCACCTGTTGTCAGCTCTCTCCTCCACACAGAATCTGCAGCTGGAGATAGGACCAGAGCTGCTTCAGAATAGGTAAGTATAGGGATCTTTTTTTTACAGGGTTAGATAGATATGCTTTAGGATGAGGATGGGAGTAGGTTTAGCCTTAGTTGGCTATTAACTGGAATTCCATTTTAAGAGTCAATTCACTATTATATGCCTTGTAAAAGTTTACCCTTTGTCTTTATTTAACCACTTGCCAACCGCGCTATAGCCGAATAACAGCTACAGCACGGTTATCCAGTCCTGGGAGGGCATCATATGACATCCTCCCAGAAAGCGCCCTCCTGCGTGCCCCTGGACACAGCTGATCACGTGATGTGGTACACTGCCAATCACAGCTACCTTTTACCACGTGATCAGCCATGTCCAATGACACAGCAGATCACCGGGTAAATGCAGTTGCCGGTTATCGGCTGCACTTTCCTCACGCTGTCACTGCGTGAGGAAAGTACTGCCAATAACTGGCAATTGTCAGAGGACGAATCGGCACTGATGATCAGTGCCCTGATGATTGGTGCCCATCAGTGCCACCCACTTGTGCCCATGAGTGCCTAGTAGTGCCACCCACTTGTGCCCATCAATGCCGCCCAGCAGTGCCGTCAGTCAGTGCCACCCATCAGTGCCTATCTGTGCCGCCTATCAGTGCCCATCATTGTTGCATATCAGTGCTGCCTATCTTTGCCACCTCATCAGTGCCGCCTATCAGTGCCCTTCAGTGCTGCCTATCAGTGCAGCCTCATCAACGCACATCAATGAAGGAGAAAAATTACCTGTTTGCTAAATGTTATAATAGAAACAAAGAACAACTTTTTTTTCAACTTTTTTGCTCTTTTTTTTTTTGTTTATAGCGCAAAAAAATAAAACACCCAGTGATTAATAAACACCTCCAAAAGAAAACTCTATTTGTGTGAAAAAATAATAAAAATTTCATATGGGTACGGTGTTGCATGACTGCGCAATTGTCATTCAAAGTGACAGCACTGAAAGCTGCAAATTGGCCTGGGCAGGAAGGGGGTACAAGTGCCTGGTAGGCAAGTGGTTAACCACTTGCCACTTGCCTGTAGTAGTGGCACAGGCAGGCCAGGCAATGTACAACGTACATGTAAATAAATTTGGCTGAAACATGGTGATCAAACACATAGGACTCTTTGTTCACAGCACAGCGATCTGGCTTTTTCTTGCAGGGAGAAAAGACAGCAAAATCTTTTATTAAAAGCAGCACATATTACACACATTACATATGTTAGACACACAGTTAACCCTTGATTGCCCCTGGATGTTAACCCCTTTGCAGCCAGCGTAATTAATACAGTGTACATTGTACAGTATTATATCTAATCACTATATTAAGGTCAATAGCTACGTTAATGTCAGTTAGCGTACCTCCCAGCAAGTGTCTGTTAGTGGCAGATTGCTTGCCACGGTATCACAGTCCTACTATAAGTCACCAATCTCTGCCATTACCAGTGACGCATGTATAGCTGCGTAAATTATACATTAGTACCATAGTTATACCATAGTTTGTATGTGCTATACCTTTCTCACAAACCAATTAATATGTACACTTATTTAGATTTTCTTTTTTTACCAAAGACATGTTGCAGAATATGGCCTAAGTTAATGAAGAGAATTGATGTTTTGATTTTTTTATTGGATATGTTTTTATCCACTTGCCCTCTGGAAGATTTGTCCCCCCCCCCCCCCCCCCCCCCCCCCCTTTGTGACCAGGCCATTTTTTGCTATATGGTGCTAAGCTACTTTGACAATAGCGTGGCCGTGCAATGCTGTACCCAAATTAAATTTATATAATTTTTTTTCATGCAAATAGAGTGGTGGTATTTGATCACCACTGGGTTTTTTTTTTGCACTATAAATGAAAAAAACAAAACATTTTGAGAAAAAAAAGCAATATTTTTTACTTTATTAAAAAAGCCCCAATGGTGATCAAATACCACCAGAAGAAAGCTCTATTTGTGTGAACAAATTACATAAATTTCATTTGGATACAGTGTTGCATGGTTCAGGAATTGCCAGTTAAAGTGGAACTTTAGTCAGAAAATTAAGTCCTGCTAGATCACTTCAGGCTGGCCCCTTTTGCAGGCATACAGTGGGGATCGAAAGTTTGGGCACCCCAGCTAACAATTTGTATTAATGTGCATAAAGAAGCCAAGGAAAGATGGAAAAATCTCCAAAAGGCATCAAATTACAGATTAGACATTCTTATAATATGTCAACAAAAGTTAGATTTTATTTCCATCATTTACACTTTCAAAATAACAGAAAACAAAAAAATGGCGTCTGCAAAAGTTTGGGCACCCTGCAGAATTTATAGCATGCACTGCCCCCTTTGCCAAGCTGAGACCTGCCAGTGTCATGGATTGTTCTCAACCATCGTCTGGGAAGACCAGGTGATGTCAATCTCAAAGGTTTTAAATGCCCAGACTGATCTGACCTTGCCCCAACAATCAGCACCATGGGTTCTTCTAAGCAGTTGTCTAGAAAACTGAAAATAGTTGACGCTCACAAAGCTGGAGAAGGCTATAAGAAGATAGCAAAGCGTTTTCAGATGTCAATATCCTCTGTTCGGAATGTAATTAAGAAATGGCAGTCATCAGGAACAGTGGAAGTTAAAGCAAGATCTGGAGGACCAAGAAAAATATCAGACAGAACAGCTCGCAGGATTGTGAGAAAAACAATTCAAAACCCACGTTTGACTGCATGATCCCTCCAGAAAGATCTGGCAGACACTGGAGTTGTGGTACACTATTCCACTATAAAGAGATACTTGTACAAATATGGTCTTCATGGAAGAGTCATCAGAAGAAAACCTCTTCTACGTCCTCACCACAAAAATCATCGTTTGAACTTTGCAAATGAACATATAGACAAGCCTGATGCATTTTGGAAACAGGTTCTGTGGACCGATGAGGTTAAAATTGAACTTTTTGGCCGGAATGAGCAAAGGTACGTTTGGAGAAGAAGGGGCACAGAATTTAATGAAAAGAACCCCTGTCCAACTGTTAAGCATGGGGTTGGATCAATCATGCTTTGGGGTTGTGTTGCAGCCAGTGGCACAGGGAACATCTCACTAGTAGAAGGAAAAATGGATTCAATAAAATTTCAGCAAATTTTGGATGGTAACTTGATGCCATCTGTGAAAAAGCTGAAGTTAAAGAGAGGATGGCTTCTACAAATGGATAATGATCCTAAACACACCTCGAAATCCATGGGGGATTAGATCAAGAGGCGTAAACTGAAGGTTTTGCCATGGCCTTCACAATCTCCTGACCTCAACATAATTGAAAATCTATGGATAGACCTTAAAAGAGCAGTGCGTGACAGACAGCCCAGAAATCTCAAAGAACTGGAAGACTTTTGTAAGGAAGAATGGGCAAAGATACCTCAAACAAGAATTGAAAGACTCTTGGCTGGCTACAAAAAGCATTTACAAGCTGTGATACTTGCCAAAGGGGGCAGTACAAGATATTAACTCTGCAGGGTGCCCAAACTTTTGCAGACGCCATTTTTTTGTTTTCTGTTATTTTGAAAGAGTAAATGATGGAAATAAAATATAACTTTTGTTGACATATTATAAGAATGTCTAATCTGTAATTTGATGCCTTTTGGAGATTTTTCCATCTTTCCTTGGCTTCTTTATGCACATTAATACAAATTTTTAGCTGGGGTGCCCCAAACTTTCGATCCCCACTGTAGCTATATAAAACATTAAAAATAAGTGCCTATACTGTTTAACACCTTGGCGCCAGCGCCTCCCAGCCCTTTAAGAGTTTTAGAAGCCGGGGTGGGGTTTTTAAGGTCACGTGACCGCCGTGATTCGCCACCACGGCAGTCACATGATCAGGAAAGGTCCCAATCGAAAGAGGAGATCTGGACCTTTCCTTGAGTACCGGACATGTGTGCTGGGAGAGTGCAGGGCGCATGCTCTCAGCACGTTTTTCTTAATTACACGCAAATGTGCGGCCGCTCAGCATCAAGTCCCAGACGCCGGGATGCCGCACATTTGCGTGCGGCCGGCTCGTAGAGGTTAAAATCCAGTAATTCAATGTATCACTCTGCTCTGCACATGCTCAGTTGCTCTCCCAAGTTGCTCGAATTTGTATAGGCTGATCTGCTGGCAGTCTAAAGATTAAAGCAGCACTAAACCTACTGATTTTACAGTTTCAAAAAACAATTGCGTTCCCGGCATGCCAGGAATGCTAACTGTTAAGTTGCTTGTGTTCTTAACCAAACTGTCAAACCATTAAATCACTGGTGTTATAAATGATTATATGTTCCGCACCATGGCAACTGCAGATC